ATGCGATTAACTTGTTTAATTGGAAATGGGTCAAAAGTACGCTTAGACACATGACCCACAAAATGTAAAGCTGAAATTACTCAGAAATCATCAATAAAGTGGCTAAGACTACGTCAATACAATTTTTTATACTGGCATCTCCTTAACATGAAATGTAATAAATATTATTTTCCGTTCCGAATTTTAGTAAAACTCGTTATTAAACTTACTTATTGAAGTTGGTCAGACCACATTCGGAAATATTTTTGGAACCTCACAACATAGGCAATATGCGCATAGAATTTAAATTAATATTCTTGGTCTGCACTATTAAATGCGCCCGTTGATTAACTTGATTAAAGTACCTGGAGAATAGAACTTGGATAACGCAATCCGTCAAATCGGACATATCATTTTCAGTGTTGTTGATCCTTTATTAAACGTTTTTCACAATTTCACTCTTGGTGGGGACAAGCGAGGTGACAAGTTCTTGTTATAATAATAAAATCATTAAATAGATTTAGATTTAGTTGAGATTTGTTCAGTTGTTTTCTGCTGTAAAATTATATGTGCATATAACAAACAATAAATAAAAAGCAGTCAAAATTTAACATTGTGGTAAAATTTTTATCAAAATTTTAGGTACGTATCGTTTCTTAACAAGTATGGAACAAATATTGTTATGCTTATGCTATATAAAAGTTTGAAACAGATTTAGTAAAAATGGATCTAGGACTCCTAGACTAATATATCAAAATAGATTGGATAAGTGACACTCCGAAGATGAATGATATATGTACCATTACTTTTTTTTTTACTTCATTATCGATTGGAATCATCTAAGGATTCAGATCTCACTTTTTCATATTTCGTAAAACCTTCTAAAGTTATTCTGTAAAATAATTAGTTTCAAAATACATAGTTCAAGTAAATATTTATATTATATTAAATACCGTGAATCGGATAATGATTTTCAGGTGAAATACGTTCGTCGATTGCACCTCGCAAACCTGAACGTACGGCAAGCATGCGCGAGCGTGAAGCGCAACTAGAATTGGCACGTAAACGGCATGTTGGAGCACGCAATGAAAATATTGATACTATCTCCATTTGCTCGTCAAATGGTGATAATGTATCATTGGACCAGGTTTCAACTCATCATAATAGTGCCTTACATTCTAAAAACTCAACTGGAGGTATTCCTGGTTCACAGCTTCCCACAACAAATCGCACAACAGCTATTTTAACTAATAATTCCTTCAAATCTGTTGTAGACGGTAAGCCACCAAGTGGAAGCCGCACTAGCACTTTTGAGCGCAAGAAGGGTAATGATAGCAAAATGCCAATAGCAAATAAATTAGAAATATTTGAAAACCCGACAAACAATAATATTAATAAAAACGAGCTTGCCAATTCTATAGGAAACGCAAACAGTAATGCAACTGACAACCGACCTACAAGTCTTAAGGATTCTGTACGTAAAATCAACAATACTATCGATAGTTATCTAAAAGACAAACGCGACTACGAAAATATGTACGAATTTGTCAAGGCATCTGCTTCACCTCCGCCACCACCTGCAAGATCAGTAGATCTCACAAATGGAGGACAACGTATATTACCTACTCGGCGCAGCAATAATTTATACTCAGATACGGCATCGGTGACTAGCTACACACGTAGTGAATATGGAGCTTCTCGTACTTATGGACTGAATAATAGTCTGGGTATATCGTTTACACATATTCTAAAAATAAGAGTTCTATCAAATATAAATTTCTTACAGCCAATATTCCACGCATTATTTCTGCTTCGTATTGTGGTAGCGAAGTCGGCGAATTTGACATTTATGCACCCTATAGTTACTATGGCAGCGAGGCAGGTGGCGATGTAGCCACTGACATTAATGATAGTGTATGGGGCATACCATCGGTAAGTGGTTTATGTAAATATATGTGAAGGTATCCTTTTAAATTAAACTATTTTTATAGGCTGTCAAAAATCGTGTAAAGGCAACAAACCGTTTACGTATGCGAAAGGGACGAAGTGTTGTGCATAAGACTATTGAGGATAACTATACTGCAGTTGTGGTTGCCAATCACGAAGCACTGGCGCAGGTTTTAGATCAGGTGTGTTACGTTTATTATTTTCTCTTCAATTTCTATTTCATTATCTGTATATATTTTAAGTTGCAACAAACGCCGATTATACCACCAGCGCTTCGACCTTTGGCAAATGCTATAAACTTACGTTTTGAAGATTTTACAATACTAGAAGGTACACAAGCATTTGTAGTTGGTAAAAAAGCATTCCATGCAGCACTTTGGACCACTGCACCAGTGACCCTTGCGCTATCAGCTGATTGTAATCAACTTTCTGGTGTGGGTGGTGAACTTAACCAGTTATCTGGAGGAATATCTGGCGTGCTAAATCCAATTACGGAGTTCTGCGATTTGGTGCCAAGTTATCATTTACCACTAATGCCAACGACGGAAGTAACACTTTTGCAGGCAACAATTTCAGTACTACCACGACTTCAACTAGATACACTGTTATCCATTGGCGCAATTTTGAAAGGAAAGTCACAAGTACTAGACAAAAGTAATTATAACTTCCGCGGTTCAATACCGAATTTGACAGGACTGAAGGATGGTAGTAGTGCAAGTGCGCTAAGAAATGTAGTGTCTGTGCAAAATTTATGTACACTTAATGAAGAGTCGTCTGTAGAGAAAAACATTAAATCGGATGAGGATTCCCACTTAGTTCCGAGCATGCCAGCGTTTGATGATGTGATGACACGCGAAGTAGCTTTCATAATGTTGCAGTTAGTGAATGGCATGAAAAACTTACAAGTCAAGGCGATCGAAGATATGCCGTTGAGTTTATCAAATGTTGTGCTTTCGAAGGATATAGACAACAAAGATGCACAAGCCAGACTTTGCGTTCTACAAGGGTAGGTTCAATAAAGTTATTAAAATAAAACAGATTGAAATTTAATATTTCTTTTTTTAGTAGCAATAACGACGAAGATGAACAGATGGGCACACTTTGTAAGTGTGCTCATATTGCACTCACTGATTTGTTACCAGCGACAAAAATAACGCAAATTTTAGCTGACATATTATCACAAGAACGGGCTGAATCACTCTCGAAGTCAAAATCGGTTTTGGAGTTTGTGTTATGGGGACCTTCAGACGTCATTCTTTCCGGCTCAGCAAAAGAACGGGAGCTTGCATTGCAACACTGGCTGGACTTGGAACGTGCCACAGTTTTGCATGGTTTAGTACGTACACGGATAGAGTTGACAGTTTATGATGAATGTCATCTAATGTTTTTAGTGCGATCAACAGCGAAAATGATGAATGACGCTGCTAAAATCATTTGCAATTATCAAAATGTAACCCAAGCCACATCCGTAAAATCGGAACAGATTTAAAATATTTATGATTATACGATTGAAATCAATTGATTATTACATATTTGGAATTTATTTGTTTTTATTTTATTTTCTATACCTATTATAATTCCAGTTTTAAAACTTATTAGGTTTTTTTTTATTAATCTGTATATATGATTAAAAATCATCGCTTATAGTGCCAAATTCGAACAATTCCCTGATTTGCTTCCTTGCTTTTAAGTCTAAACTTATCTTTGTATATTATTGATGTAAAACATATAATATAATTTAAATGTCTGAAGGAAATTATTTTTTTTATTAATTTGAGCTATGCAGCCCTTTTCCATTACATTTAGATATAAAATATATTTTTGTTAATGGAATAGTTATAAATTAATTAAAATATTTTTATATATATTTTATATAATGTATATTCATAATAAATTGGTGTTTGAATAATGATTAATAATAAATAGTTTTAAATAAAATAATAAATGCAATAAATTATTACAATTGAAATTTTTTATTTTTTTAATAAACGAAAGTGTGACCTGATACCCCTATTTAGTGTGAATAAGACAATATATCAAATGAGATTTTGGTTTTTCAATCTCCAAAAACTTCATAAGACTAACAATTGATTGACCGTTCACAGGAAACTTTTCAAGAAACAATTTTCTGGTCTTCATTGAGCATGTGAGAGACCTTCTGTTCGATTAAAGTCTTGCTTTAACATTTTTAAAATTTTATGATATTCATAAAATTCATTCATTTTTTTAGTAAAAATATTAGCTCCTGATACAAAACTTACACAAAAGAAAAAAACTATTACCCAAAAACAAGCTTCTTTTTATATTTTTTAATAGTGCCAAAATATATATTTTTTAACTCATACAGGATACTAAAATTATAAACAAAAAAAATGAAGAAAGTAAACATGTTTTATAGGATAGGTAGTTTTTGCTTTCAGCTCTCTGCATTTAAAACAATCTCCACTATTGGTAATTCCTATCTTGTCTGTGTGCTAGTATGCTGTGGCGTGTTAACATACATGATAGCCCTAAGATCTTTCCATGAGAGCGCTGGTACAAATTAAGTGTACTTTGTTTCGATTAATGAGCGCATTAGTTTTTGACTTTTGCAGTTTTACAGCAAGTGATTCTGTTCTATATAGCAGAGTTACCTTGCGAAGCTATTTATCGTAAGATACGAAAAGAAAAGAATTATCAAGTATTATTTATCAAAATAATATAATGCATAATGCACTAATTCAAAAAATAAAAATTAAATTTGCATAGCTAGCCTTAAAATTCTTTTCTTTGATCCGAAATTTACATAATAAACTTTTTTTAACATAGTATGTTATGTGAAAAGTATTAAAATTTTTTGATATTTCTCAATAATGAGCCCCATCTGATATTCTGCACACCTATCATTGATATTTCTACTGATTTAAAAATACATACTTGTCTACAGTTTAAGCTTTTTAATATCAATTATTAAAGCTCTAATGTTTAATGCGTAAGAGCACACGGAACAATATGAACAGGTTCAGAGCTTTTGAGTTTTGTATCTCAGTCAATGTGTGTATACCATAGATACTCCGTATTTGAGATTATTAATCAACAAAATTAATTTAGTAATTTCACTGCCGAAATATGAGTACTATATATGGCAGAAAGACGGACAAGAGTTGTAGAATAGCTTTTGTGAGGTAGTAGCAGTTCGCACATTTGCGAATAGGTTTCGTGGAGGAACAGAGCATTTTGGTTGCGAAATATTTTAGATCAATTGCCTTAGTATACACAAAACCAAAAAAAGCTGGAAATAATTTGCCAACATAATAAAACTCATTAATGTTTTTAAACAAAATGATGCAAGCGAAAAATTTTGCTGTTGTTAATTTCCGCTACACAAAAACTTTGAGCTTATCAAACATAAGACTATTCCAATCTAATCAGCAGGTAAGGTCTAATATTTTGATTTTATTTTTAATGAACATTTTTTACGACTTTGTTTACAAACACAAAGATATTGCAACAAACGCAAGCAGCCGAAGTAAATTTAGAAGCCGATTCGGAATGGAATCAAGCTAAACCTTTCAGTGAAATACCCACTGATGGAGCTCTTAATGTTTTAAGAAAAATGCTGCCCGGTGGAAAGTATTATAAGAAAGACAGTGTGAAATTACTAACACAATGGAAGGAAGACTATGGCGAAATGTTTGTAATGCCAGCTATGCTTGGAAGAAAGGCATTCTTAATTACTAATAATCCTGAACACTTTGAGCGCGTGTTTCGAAATGAGGGTATTTGGCCTATACGACCGGGGTCAGAAGCACTCAGGTATCATAGAGAGAAATACAGAGCAGAGTTTTATCAGGACATTGAAGGACTTATAGCAACGTAAGTTTTTTGAATATGACATGTACACTTTATATGCACTTTATATGCACTTTATATTCTCTTGTCAATAGTCAAGGCGACAAATGGGGTAAATTTCGAACAGTAGTAAATCCTGTGCTAATGCAACCAAAAAATGTTAAATTATATTTGCAAAAAATGTCACAGGTCAACTTAGAACTAATAGATAGGTTTGTACATGCGTTTTAATCATTTTATGAAATTATTATTTATTTTTTTTTTTCAAGAATCAAAGAAATACGTGATCCAATAACACTTGAAGTACCTGATAATTTTGAAGATGAAATTAATCGTTGGACCTTAGAATCGGTATCTGTTGTTGCACTGGACAGGCAATTAGGTCTGCTTAAGGAAAATAGGGATAATGTAGCAGCCAAAGCATTGTTTAAGAATCTAACAGAGTTCTTCACGTTATCTCTTGAACTAGAATTCAGACCATCGTTGTGGAAATTTATACCAACAAAAACATTCAGGAATTTCATGAAGTGTTTAGACAATATACAAGATATTACTTTAAATTATGTAAACAATGCACTACAACGTTTGGAAAAGGAGCGAGAAGCTGGTATTGAGAGGCCAGAAAATCAAAAAAGTGTCTTAGAGAAGTTATTAAGAATTGACAAGAAAATAGCTACAGTAATGGCAATGGATATGTTAATGGCAGGTGTAGATACAGTAAGCAAACTAGTTTAAAATTTTAAAAGTTTAAAATTTTCTGTTTAATTATTTTCCTTTAAAGACTTCGAGTACATTTGCTGGCATTATGTTGTGTTTAGCAAAAAATCCCGAAAAGCAGGAGAAACTACGAGAAGAAATTTTAAAAATTTTACCAGAAAAATGTTCAGATTTTACTGACAGTTCATTAACAAATATGCCATATCTACGTGCATGCATTAAAGAATCACTACGGTTATATCCTTTAATTGTTGGTAATGCGCGCGTACCTCAAAAAGATGTAGTGCTAAGCGGATATCAGGTACCGAAGGGGACTCAGGTTTCTATGGTTGCAACAACTTTGTTACAAAATGAGAAATATTATACAAAGCCGAAAGAATTTATACCAGAACGCTGGCTAAGACAAAGCAAAGAGATGGCGAATAATGAAATCAACGAGTTTAAGGGCACAAATCCATTTATTTATTTACCGTTTGGATTTGGTTCCAGAAGTTGTATTGGAAGAAGAATAGTTGAAATGGAACTGGAATTAGGTGTTGCTAGAATTTTACGAAATTTTAAAGTAGAATTTAACTACCCAGTCGATGAGCCTTTTAAGGCCTTATTAATAAATGTGCCAAACATACCACTTAAATTTAAATTTACAGATATCTAATTTGTACATAGTGGTAAAAATTATTAAATTAAATTAATTTTTTATATATTATGCGATATATTAACTTTAACTCTATTTTATGGTTAAAATATATGTCATTTTTTTTATTAATTAGTTATCAAATGAAAATTTCATTATGAAATCCATATAATGATTATTATTTAATTTTATTATAATTCACCAAATGTTAAAGATTGTGAACCTGTTAATCAGTGTCCAAATATATTCGTTTCCAAAATAAACTTTATGAATTATATGTGAATTATTAAATAAATAATATCTTATGAACAAACTGACAAGGCTTTTTTAGTTAATTACTTAATTATTTACATTGTATTGAATATGTAACAAAAAAATTATTTTGAAATATGACCATTTGAAGATAAACAGTTTTTTAAGTACTTGCCAATGATAAAATTTAACTTCTAATATTAGACAGGTTTTTCTATATGTCTTGTTTGGCATTGTCAAGACTTTTTGAATCAAGACATATTGAAATATCTAAATATATTTCTATTTAACTCTAATAACTGGTAAACGTTTCAAAGCCTATATGTACATATACATATGTGTAACGCGTTTTTCTGTTATGGACGCTACAAATATACGACGCATTCTTTTATGAAAACTACACTGACCAAGTTAGGGTCCAAACAAAATATGTGGAAGTGTACATTTAAAAAAGTATTTCAACAGTCAAAAAAATTCATTGATCCTGAACACATCAAAGTTGATGCTATCCATGGCCTCAGCAGAAACGATATTAAAATCTACACTGAATTTCGAAAGAGGACACTGTAAACTTAATTACCACATGAAGATTATTGGTGCGGTAAAAGTGACTCCTATCGACGCTGCCATGAGAAGAAGGAAACATCAGAACAAATTCTATGCAACTGCCTATCGGCGGCAAGACGTAGGAGTGCTTTCATAGCCTATTACTTACTAATAATAATAATATTTCAACTAAATCAAAAATATAAAAATAAAATACTAATCAAGATAATCGCACTCCGTAGATATAATTTCTTTAAAACATTGTTTTTAAAAAAGTTAAAACCCTTTATCATGCAGACATTAATTTTATTAATATATTTGTTTACAACTTGCTAACCAATTGATATGAAGTATCTGAAATGTAACAAGAGCCATATACAATCACATATAAATAATATAAATTATATAGATGCGAATGTATGTATGCTTATGATCAGTATATAAAATTTAAAGCTTTTTTGAGAAGAAAGAATGAATAGAAAAAAGCACAACAGAAAGTTGTGGTCATTTGAATCGAACACAATTTTACCCTACATAATTCAGTTGCCTCTCATATAATATCATGTAGTGAAATTCTATATTGAACAAGATTAAACTTTACAGGTCCCTTTTTACATATGTCAATATGTTTTTAAATGAGTCTAACTTTCATAAAATCAATGGAACACAATAACACTTGAGGACAACTGTTAACATATTATATAATTTCTACCTAGAAATCTAAGAAGTTTTTTTTAGAAATGTGTTGTACAATGGCTTAATTATTTTCCAGTTTATTATTATTATATTGTAAATATATATTTTAGTTTTTTGCCTCGTCTTATATGGTGTTAACAAGCGTTTTTAGATTTTTGTTAATTTAACTATGGTTATATAGAATTAATCCTTATTTAATATTCTTTTAATTTAATAAAATCGTAGTAACTTTTGAAATATTTTTTGTATATATACTTTTAGAAATTGTTTTTATATTGACGGATTTGATGTTATGCACTGAGTGTAGATTTATAGTTATAGATGATGCTCAAAGAAAAGAAGTTATAATTGTGATCATAAGCTCTCGGTTAGGAAGAAAATAAGAATAACTTATGTCACTAAGGTAAAAAGTAAAATGATCCATGGAGGCCTTTTCAGTACAGAACTCCACTTGTCTTCGGTAACAGTAAAATAACCAGTTCGAATCAATCGATACAGCTAATTTTATTAAAAACCGTTCTTTAGAAAATGATACATACTAGAATAAATTTTACAGGGTAAAGTTTGCATAATTTGAAAATTTTGGCTAGTACTTGTGTTCAGATGATATGATTTTTTTAAATAAAACAACAATAAATTGCAAAAATGTGTTTTAATTCGAGTATGTAATACATAACCTATATTAAACATTTCAATACGATAATTCGATTAAATTCTGTAATACGTATATATAATTCGATCATTACAATCAAGTCTAATTTATTATTTTGAAAATAGTGTCCGCGAACTACTGTCATTCTAAAAGTTAAAAGTGATAAGAACTTCATTAAAGAAAGTGTTCTTCGCTTTTTGCGTAATTTACTACCTTCTAATTTACTTACTATCATAAGTTGAACAGCATTTAGATTATGGACAAATTGCATGAGAAGTATGGCGACAATTTTGTAATACCAGCGCCATTACTTTTGACACAAAATCCAGCTGACTTCGAAACTGTATATCGAAATGAGGGCATTTAGCTCACGCGACCGGGTTCCAATAGCATACCATTGTGAAACAATAGCATACGAGTACCATCGTGAAAAACACAGGCGCAGCTTTTTTCAAGGAAGTGATGGTATCATATCAACGTATATCGTCAAAGTGCAAATTTAATAAACACTGATCTAATATGCGCTATATTTTAGTAAGGGTGAAAAATGGGGCTCATTTCGTTCAGCAATCAATCCAGTTTTAATGCATCCGAAAAAGGCTAAAATTTACTTACCAAAGATGTGTAAAATTAATACCGAATTCGGAGAAAGGTTTATGTTTAAATTTACTTTTGTAAATTTTACAATACAATTCATGAATAGTTTTAAATATATTCGATACTTTTCAGAATTGGGGAAATACCAGATCCGAAGACACTTAAAGTTCCAGAAGCTTTTGAAGATGAAATAAATCGCTGGACATTAGAATCAATTTCCATGGTAGCGCACGATCAACAACTGGGTCTAATTAATCCAATGAATCGAAAAAATCCTGTTACAAAGAAACTTTTTGTTACATTGATTGAGTTTTTTTTCGTTAACGGGGGAGATTCAATTTTAGCCACAAATTTGGAAATATGTTAAAACTCGAAAATTCAAGCGTTTGATGGGATTATCTGATAATATAACGGATATATCCTTAATGTTTGTGCAAAATGCATTACAACGTTTGGAAAGAACAGAAAACGAAAAAGTGTTGTAGAAAATATGCTTAACATTGATAAGAAGTTACTTATTGTGATGGTAATGGATATATTCAATATATTATATTGATATATGATAACTGTTCTGATCTGTTATTTCATACATTTTATGATTTTGTTCGACTACTACAATGTTCATAGGTAAAATACTGCGTTTGGTAAAGAACCCAAATAAACAGGAAAAGTTACGTAAAGAACTTTGTAAAGCGTTATTAGAAAATCTGGGCATCCAAAAACAATATATCGGCTTATTTCGGTTCAGCATCATATAGTTTGGCATTTATATTTATATTTAACTTAAAGTAAAATTGTAGTGAAATTTGTTTATTTATCTAATTTTTTTATTTTTATTTAAATTTATTTAAGCAATTTTGAGCAAGAAGCTCAAAAATATATCGTTGCATTAACTATGCTTTCTAAAAGAATCAAGATCTATTTTATTTATGGGCAAAAAAACTGCATATAAATACATGAAGAATATTAAAACGGAACTTAACCGAAAACCGAAAAAACCGATATTTTTGCCGGGTCGAAAACCAAAATCGAACCGATTTATTTTTTTATATTGAACCGGAATGGAAAAAATTCCGGTTCGAAACCGTACAGAAAAGTATACAGTGAATTGATTTATCTAAGATATTGTGAAAAAAAGGGATAAGAATGTATCCTTTAGGCACAGGCACTATACTGAGTGGATATCAAGAACCTAAAGGCACACAAGTATTTATGTTGAATGAGTTCTTGCTTAAACATGACAATTATTATCCAGAATCCAATAAGTACTTACCAGAAAGATGGATGCTACAAGACAAGAAAAACATAAACAATGTATTAAAGCAATGAAGCCTTCACAAACCCATTTATTTACTTACCATTCGGGTTTGGCCTCAGAGCTTGTATTGGATTACGCGTAGCGAGAATTATAAGAAACTTCAAAGTTGAATTTAATTACCCAACAGAAAATGCATTCAAAATCCTTCTCTTTAATGTCCCCAATATTCCATTGACATTTAAATTTGTTGATCTTTAAGAATTTGTAAATTATTTGCAAATTAGAATACATGAAACATTGAAATAATAAATAAAGAATAAATTAAATATTTTTGTAACTTCGTTTTCTAATCAAATTTGATTTTAAATTTGGGTTTCATTTTCATTTCAATTGTGTTTTCTGTTTGAACTTATAGATAGCTGAAAGTATTTTCGAGGAGTGCATTTCATATATCGTACTTAATTTGTACGAATTGTCATACTCGTATATTATTTTTATATATTCGTATTTTAAAGCTTATTTATTATAGCATCGGGCATTAAAAAATATTTTATTACTAGATATTTTTCATTTCGGTTACCAAGTCAAAGTGCCTGGTTCGTCAATTGAAATTCAAGGCCTCCACTCTAAAGCTTGAGGTCCATTTCTATAGCGTATGACTTAGATACTGCAGCTGTAACTAAGTCTAGAAACAGAGTAAAATACGCGGCGTTTGACTATCTTGACTATAATCATAGTTGAACTGAAATTAATATAACTGAACTTAATATAACTGAACTTAATATAACTGAACTAACATAAAGAGTATTGATTATTATTAAGCAAATAAATTAAAATTGATCTAAGTTTAAATGAAGTCATCGCATAAAAGTATTTAAATACTATAAACTAATCGAAGTAATTTTTACAAATTAATAATTGTGTGAACGAAATAGCATGCAATAGAAAGTTTTTACAAATGCATAAAATACTAGAACCGAATCAATAGAATCCAATCTCCTTTTTGATATTAACAATAAGTTCATATCTAAAAATTATTGTAAAACAAAACTTCATTTTTATGTTTAAAG